AGAGAGAGAGAGAGAGAGAGAGAGAGAGAGAGAGAGAGAGAGAGAGAGAGAGGGAGAGAGAGAGTCCTGCGGAGAAATTCGCCGCTGCTGCCAATGCTGGAGGGCCGGAGCAAGCACGCGTGCTGCTTCGCCGTCGAGGTGTTCGACGATGCACAGGTGCGGTGTTGATGGTTGCTCCTGGTTTGGTTGGGGGGTTGTGTATGCATGGGATGTTGCAAAGAGAAACGGCAGACGCGCACACGCATACACTGCTGTTGGCCCGTCGATCCTCCAGTCACATATGCATAAGACTATGGAACACACAGCAGTGACTGATCGGACGCGCACTTCCGCACATCTTGAGTGCTTCCGTCTCCCCCGGCGCACAACAGGGTCGACACGCCGACGTCGTTCCCTTGACGAGTTTGATTATGTGTGCATGGTCTAGGGTGCCTTGAACCTATCCCTACCAGAATCCACCCCTGTACTCCTGCTATCGTAGACCACTGGAACGAGCGTTCCAACAATGCGGCGTAACACCACAGCGGCTGGCATCGATAATGGATCCGGAACACCTAATGGCTCGCTCGCGGCTCTCCTCTTGGGGTCGGGCATGTATGAACAATTGTGTAGTATCGCTTGCGTGGTTTCGTCACATCTGTTCTGTTCAGGCGTCAGTCTACAGCTATCGGTATATATACATGTGTGACGAATCAATTGGGGTAGGAACGTAATACGTCCGTTGCCCTCCTCTCCTCTAGACACCCACCTTATTGAGTAGTACTTCGTTTCTCCTTTTGTCGTCACTTCAAGTCAGCGCTCACAGCGCTTTCTGCCGGGCGGCAGCTCCAATCCGTGGTCAGACAGAGACTGGCTCGAAAAATCGGCCCCCTCAAGATGGCTCGTATATGTACCACATGCAGCGCGCAGGCAGCCCTTGTGGTGTAACCACCTCGCTCGAAACTTGGAGCAGTGGCCAGAGAATCCTTTTCCCTTGCGATGCATACGGAAGCGGGGCTGCTGTTTGAATGGTGCCTTTGTCTGAAAGATGGCAATGCCAACAACAGCAGCAGCAGCAGCAACAACAACAACAACAATCATACAATGTTCTCTTTTCTCGTTTCATTTGGACCTGGCCCACCTGGCCGCCAGCAGTTCGATCCGTCGGCGTTCGTGGCGAGCACTCGTTCCTTGGTGCCCCTGGAGAGGCTGAGGGATGACCTTCAGGAGCACTTGGCGGACCGCAAGCAGGTGTGTGCGCCGCTGAACGCTCGAAAGAACGTACACGCACTTGTGGGGTTCGAGATAAGGTAATCACCGAGGATTTTTCAAAAACAATCTCCGTCTGAGAAAATCGCGTAGTAACAGTTTTCGTGTTACACCCTCTTGTTCCAACTACATGTTGATGGCACCTACAAAATAGGTTAACAGACAGTACTCATACCTGATCACCCGCTCCTTCGGTCATGTTGTGAGAAGTGTCGTTTTTTTTGTAGCCTCAGGGTCTTCACTCGATGGTGCTTTTCATGGTGACGCGTTCTGTGTGTGGTTCTCGCGGGTGGGGTAAGCACGTGGGCGAAAGGGATGCGGGCAGTGAAGACGAGACGTGTAGGGGCGTTGGGGTGCGTGCGTGCGTGCGTGCATGCGTGCGTTCCCTTCGTTTGCATCGATCGTGCTTATCGGCTGGCTGACTGACTGATCGGTGGTAAACCGGCATCGAACAGGAGTTGTATGACCTCATCAACCGGGACTACGCCGACTTCATCCTTGTGTCGACCAAGCTCAGCGGCGTCGGGAGCAAGGTTTCACACCTCAGAGAGCCCATGGCCAGGTGAGCGCGTGCTTTTCTCTCCTGCTTCTCTCTCTCTCTCTGTCGCTCTGTCTCTCTGTCGCTCTGTCTCTCTGTCGCTCTGTCTCTCTCTCTGCCTCTCGCTCTCTCTGCTTTGGCCTTTCGTTTGCGAAAACGTGCCTCCTTCGCCTTCTGTGCCACCTCACACCCACCGTGCATATCGCCTTCTGTTTTGTGGGCCTCGTTCCCCTTTCTCTGGTGGGAACGCAAAGGCTATTGGCGCGAGCATCCGGGTTGCGGGTGTCGGCGGAGGAAGCGGCGTCCAGGCTGGAGGCCAAGCTAGAGGAGCGCAGAATAGTGCGAGAGAGGAAGAACTCGGTTCGGCGGTTTCTGAGGTGATGGTGGCGTGGTGTACCTTATCGTGACACGAAAGCGCTCGACGTGCCGTCGTTGTTTTCTGCTCCCTTCCGCTGTTGCAAACTTTCTCGCGTTCTGCTACCGTGTTCTTGAGCGTCAGCCCGGGTTATGACTCTGATGGCGCGTGTCGCGTTGTTGTTGCTGTCCTCGTTGTGAGGGTGTTGCTTGTGTAGCTGTTGGGCGTTCGTGGCTGATGCTTGGTCGGTTTTGACGTTGGTCGTCGGTGTTGTGGTTTCTGTCGCTGCCGTCGTCGTTGTCTCCCCCCGTCGTTTTCACGTCTGCAGTTGACGTTACACCTCCGCGAACGTATCGTTCGCGATTCATCCGCATGTTCCGTCCCAAACATCAATCTTGGGGGATTCAGATTTATGTCGACGTTGGACACAGCCGAAGGCGTCCTCGGAATAGGGGATATGGGTGCTGACCGCCTGGACGATGACCTGGATGCCGCAGGCGGCGGCGGCGGCGAGGGGGGCACCGGCGGAGGTCCTGGTGGGGTTGGGGGGGGGTCGAGAGGGCGTTCGTGTTGGGATGTGGATGAAGACGATGAGGTGAGTGGTTCATCGCATCGCGTGTATGATATGTATTGCTGGAAGCGCGTGTGGTTGTTCATGGAATGCTCCACGTGCTTGAGCTCATCCATTTCATGACATCCTCAACATGAAAGCATTTTTGGGCATTGTCGACGTCACCCCCCGCGTTGAATATTGAAACCGTTTTTTTATTTTTTGGTATGTCCGTGGTGTACCGGTACTGGTGCGCCTTTGTTTTCAGTGGAAGGATAGATTGTCTTCCGTCGAGTCGTGTCATGGATGTATTGCGCTTGTTGTGGACATGGAGTTTGTTGTGAACATGGGTTTGCTTCGTTGGGTGGAGATGCACACATGCAGATGAACTTGCTCCCGTGCAGGCCATCCCTTTGGCGCTGAACACCATCGTACCTGTCTCGCAGTCTGGCGGCAGTGGCCCTCAACCGCTCAGCGTGGCCACCATCATTGGTTCTGTTACACTCTTCCCTGTACTAGGTAGCACTAGTTTATGACACAAGATAACACACCCCCTTGACCGATTTTCTCGAAGCTCGATTGCTCAACTGTCGGAACAGTCACAGCGCCGAAAACGGCGGCGTTGAAACTGTCTCGTCGAGATATTTTCGAATATGTACCGTTTCGTTTATGCATCCTCTTCGTCGTGGAGTAATCGAGCTTTGAAAAATCGGTCCAGGGGGTGTGTTATCTTGTGTCATATACGGTGCTCGGTGGCTTGTTGAAAGTAACTAACGCAAGAACATGTGCCGGAACCCTCCCCACTCTCTCTCTCTCTGTCGCAATTCGCACGGTATATTTGCATTCTCGTTGTGCGCCGGCGCATGCACTAGGGCTTTGACGATCCCGACCTGCTGGCCGCTTTTTCGGGAGGACTCGCTCTCACCACTTCCGACAAGGACGTCCTTTCTGCCCCAAGCGTGCCGGGGGCGGCTTCCGGTGGTGTCGAGGGCGATAAGACTAGAGAGGAGGAGGAAGAGTTGAGGGCGGCGGCCTCTCGCGCCCAGGAGGAGTGCGCTCTGCTCGAGCGCGCGGCGCATTACGCCCTGATGATGAACGCAGACTTGCAGGTGGGGTCGTTGCTGGTTTTGGTCGTAAGTTTGTAGTTTCGCATGTACATGAAGCATGGCAACGTTGAGGCTCTCTTTGGCCGAAACAATTCACACCGTCACCACGCCCCATGTACATTACCTGACGTCCAAGGATCACAACCTGTCTCTGAGGAACGACCCATCGACGATCGGTCCTGTGGGTGGGAGCAATGCTCCGACCTGTCGAGAGGACGCGTAGTCAACGGTCTAACCGCCAAGGCATGCGAATCATGAGACCCCCCGCCCTCGCGCGCCATCTGTAGGCTGCCGCCGAGGACGAAGCGAACGGTGCGGGCGACGCCGACGCCACTTCGCTATTGCGAGGCATGTCCTCCAGGGCGTCTCGCGTGGAAGCCGAGATCACCCGCCGCCTGCGGTCCGAGTTCGCCTCCCTGCTCAAGCCTCGGCACCCCTGGCCGTCCACTCCGGCTGCGGGCGACGGGGCTTCCGCGGGGAACGGAGCCGGAGGTGGTCCGACTAGGGGAGGGCCGGGGAGCGGTGGCGGCGGCGGCGCGAGAGAGAGCAGGAGGCAGGCACTGCTGAGCTGCCTGAGGCCGTTCTCTGCTCTCGGCAGCGGCATCGAGGCCGAGAAGCAGTTTGCGAGGTGCGGGAGGGGAGTGGGTCGGATTTTGTCGGGGCTGCGTGGCGGTCGGCCTCCTTGCACGACTCTGGGAAGGTGTTGGTCGCTTACTGCTGTCAGTGGACCTGATCCTCGCGTGTTATCCCAAGTGTGGCACTCTCTGGGTTGCATTTGGTTTTCCTGGAGCGGGGTGTGTACGATAGTCAGCGAGAACTTCCTGTCTGTACCAGGCATTCTGCGTCATGGCGAGGGAATTGCGAGACTCTTATGTGAGACTCGGAGGCTGTTTGCTTGCTGTGCTTCTGTGTTGCCCGTCGGGAGTGTGCCCCCGGCGGCGGTAAGAGCCCGTCCGTGTAGTTGTGGACATGAGGCGTGTTTTTTTACGCTGTTATCTACGGTTGTTTTCATAAATATACAACGCCAACGGCGAGGGCAACACATTGGGATGCGGGTACGAAAACTTCCCGATTACCTAAACGCACGCGCAAGAAATGTCCAGGTGCTGCATGCAAATGATGCTTTAATATCCAGGTTCTGCATGCAACTGATAATTTAATACCTAATATCCAGGTGCTGCTTGCAAATGATAATTTAATATCCAGGTGCTGCCTGATAATTTAATACCTAATATCCGGGTGCTGCATGCAAATGATAATTTTGATGCATTTTTCTTGGGTGTGAAGGTGTTGGATTTTTCGTTGCACTGAACAGCAAGTCGCCCTTCGCTCCGTCTCCGTCTCCGTCTCCGTCTCCGTCTCCGTCTCCGTCTCCGTCTCCGTCTCCGTCTCGCTTTCCCCTTCCGTCGAGGCCCAAACCGAGGTGTTAGTGCGATGTCACAACCGACCTCTCGAGGCGAAGCTCGCGTAGCTTGATGTCTTACTTACCTGCATTAGCGTCACTCCTCGGAGCGTGTTTTTGTCACTGAACGTATCCTGGTGCCCCCCCCATCATGGTGGTTCCAGCGTTTTCTTGTATCCCGACGTGATTTTTGTTCAGGGCCGTAATGCAGCCGTTTCTCGAGGCGAGGTTTACCCCGGGCATTGTGGACGGGAGTGAGAGGGGGTCGAGCAAGGGGCTAGGGCCCCTGCTGAACGAGCTTCTGGCATACGTGAAAGAGGTGTGAACTGGGTGGGTGTGTTTTTTCGCTATGCTGGCATCGACGACTCTACTCGGCTGGCCGACGGTTGTTGTCGTCTGTGGTTTGGCCAGGCAACGGAAGACAAAGAGAGGGGGGGGGCACGCATGTGTCGGTGCGGGGGTATTGGTGTTGTTGGCGTCGACCGTGTTCACAATACGCTCGTGCTTTCATGCGTGTGTGTGTTTTTTTTGCAACGACCGCGCTTACTGGCCAATAAATGAAAATACGCCAGTCTCAGCGCGGTTGAAAACACAAATGCTTCTAACGGCTACCGTGATCTTGGATTCCGCGAGGAGGCGTTATGTGCATGTGTGCGGTTTGTGTTGTGTTCGACATCGGCTGCGGTTGCCGACGATGACTCGAAAAGGGAAAGCAAATAGACTACGCAGCCCAATCTTTAGTAAATGGCAACGCTTCCCTGGGGCGTTCAGGTGGCCGGAGATGCGGTGGAGGCTGCGGAAGACATGTTCGCCTCTCCCGCCGGTCTCGACCTCGAAGGATCTCTCCTTGGGGAGAAGAAGGAGAATGAGGATGACGGGGCAAAGACGTGGACCTTGAAGGAGGTGGATGCCATGGCTCCGCTCCCCGTCGACTTGGTGTGCAACGGGGTCTGGCGACCGGTCCAACAGGTACGACCCCTATTTCGAAGTTTGCTCTCTTCGTTTTTTGTAGCACAACTGCTGCTGTTGCAGTTGTTGCGGGTGCTGCCATGCCTGGCAGACACATGCAATCCCCATCTCTCATGACGATGGCATTTGGATGGATCAGCTGTGTCTTTTCGCCGCTCAGCCCTCCGTTTGCGAAGACCTGTTGCTTTTGTTGCTTCCGCATCTTGTCTCCGACATGAAACCGGTCAAGCACATACTCGGGGTGGTAAACGCGCGCATCCTTTTCAGCTTTTCCAACCCCTGCTTTGTTGAGCCGGACAAAGAGTCAACGTTAACATTAAACTTATCCCCAACCCTACCTTTAGAACTTCCGTCGGCGTACACCAGGTTCATCCAACAGTTCCCACGACTTCGTTCATGCAAGGAATACCTTCGAGGGTGTGCGTAGGTTGTCTTTATTGTTTCGAGGGTGTGGTTCGCACCGATGGGGGTTAGGAGGTAAGCGCGCTGTCGTGAACGCTATCCAAGCCGTGTAGTACAACCCCTGTCCGCGCATCCCTTCCCCTCTGTGACGTACGAGCCTGCGCTCCTCTGCGTGAATCCTGTTTCTCTCTTGCCCCTCCCATGCAGAGTGCTGAATGGTGCGTAGCTAGTAAACCGTTCCCCTCGAGATGCATGAGGCGAAATGCCAATTCCTATTGTTTGTTTGTTTTTTGCTATCCACTCCCCGCTTTCCTCCCTGGTTGTCGTGGTTCGTCTGAATACCCGGTTCGTCTGTTGACTATTGATTATGGTCTTTGTTCTGCTGAAATGCGATTGCAACCACCTGCAGGTCCTCATGACGCGGCTGTCCTCCATCTTCGCCACCGGCATGGTGACGGCCCAGCACTCGAACTTCATGCTGTGCATGGAGTTCCTGGAGGGGCTGGCCGCCATTGCGGGGAGCGAGAAGCGTCTCCGCATCCGGCACAGGCTTCTAGGACAGCCATCGGTGGCGGAGTTCAAGGCACGCTGGAACCTCCCCATCTACTTCCAACTCAGGCAAGGCTTGTTCACGTTACATGTTTTGACCCCCACCACTCCCCCTCTCGGTGATTGCCATCGGGGTTGGGTTTTCGTCGCTTGGCAACGACGTTGTAAAACAAGCCA